TATGTGTGGGGGTGTTTGTGTGAGAGGGAGGGGGGTAGGGGGTAGGGGGTAGGGAGGGGAGGTCTTACCTTGCTGCCAACATCAATGGGGTACATCCATCCTTGGTGCGATGTTCGATATTAGAGTGGTACTCCAGTAGAAGTTTGACCACATCGTGATGCCCCTTCCAACAGGCGCTGGTGAGGGGTATATCGTTGTTACTACCACTGGGTACATTGACCTTGGCCTTTTTTTCCAGTAGCTTTGCAGCAACATCGGTATGCCCTCCAAGCGCGGCAAACATCAGGGGGGTAAAGCCCTCTTTCGTTCGATGTTCAATATTAGCACTCCTCAACAATAAGAGTTCCACAACATCACAGTGCCCTTTCCAACAAGCAAAGGTCAGTGGACTGTCCTTGTTGCTATCAGATTCAACATTTATTTCAGCACTATGATCCAACAACATGGCTGCCACTTTAACATGGCCAGCCAGAGCAGCAAACATCAAGGCTGTACACCCATCCTTGGTCCGATGTTCCACATTAGCCTTCCTATCAAGAAGTAGAGAGACTATGGCTTCGTTTCCCAGAGTACAAGCCCACGTGAGAGCACTGTCTGAAGTCGTTTCTGTAGGCGAATCAATGTTAGCTTGGTGATCCAGTAAATATCGAGCCACATCGACATGTCCTTGACTACAGGCTTCTAATAGCGGGGTATTGCCGGCTTTATTTCGATAATCAACATGAGCACCACTCTCTAATAGTAATTCTACGATGTCGAGTTTGCCCTGTCGACAAGCAAGACTCATCATCTCATCTAAACTAACATCGGCTTCAGCTACCGAACGAAATACTGGGTCAGATTCATCGATTTGAGCATTTTCGATGCCCTCCACGTTGTCTTCTTCTCCTGAACTCATTATACGAACAAATTAAAGCGTAAAGGCTCTATAACGCCGGTTCTAACCCAAGTATTTCTTGAGTGAAGCGAGGAAAAACGAGAAATCTTTGGCTCACTTTCGACTTGGAGCTTTCATTCTACTGTGATTCTAGGAACAAAACAATGGAATATTAAAATCAACAACACGTCAAATTTAAATGAAACCACTTCCTAAGGAAGGTTTCGTCTTGGGAATGAATATTCCGGGTTGAAACGTTTAGTTTTGAAAGAAGAACAAGACGTGTTGGACGTCCTTACGAGCCCCCACAACCATGCAACTGAATAATTCAAGAAATAAAATAAAAAATGGCGATACCTTGAACGACTCCAGCGCCCTTACAACGCGAATTGGAATGGTCTGTGACTGTGAATAACTAAAATGAAGATTATTGGAATGGGAAGTGATATCTTGGTCGTTTTTTGGGCTGTTTTTTTGAGGTTTTTTCCCTTGTCTTTGCGACAGCCTCTCTTTTCAGCCACCGCGCAGGACACAACACATGCACTTACACCACGCCACCAGGCCTCAAACCTCGACCTCGGGTCAACGGGAGTCCCGCGGGTTCGTTCCTCCCTGCACTTCCGGTCACATTTTGGATTTTAAAAAATATTAATTTTTGAGAATTTTATTTTTAGAAAAATAGAAAGAAATGTCAAGTTAATTATCAGTTAGACGACATAAAAGCGCTCGCCCATGGCGATATAGACGCACTTGAGAAAATATAAAGAACTCTTAACAAGCTACAGTGTCACTCGGCTTCGCCTCGTGCCACTCTTTCGCTTGTTAATCGTCCTTCATATTTTCTCTCGTGCGTCTATATCGCCATGGGGGCGCGCTTTTATGTCGTCTAACTGATAAATAATATGACCAAAAATCTACCGTGCGACCCATGGGTAAATAGTTCATAGGCATTTCAGCCAATCAGAGCACGCGTTATATCACCCATCTCGCTCGTGCGCGCGCTATTGACGCCATCGGGTTTGAAAATTTAGAGAAAAAAGGCGAGCGTCCGTTGAGATCAGCGTGCGCGAGCGTGCAGCCCATGGGGAAATAGTTCATTGGTTTTTGGCCAATCAGAGCGGGCGTAATAATCTAGTTGTATTATAAAGTGTTATGGTAAAGAAACCCAAACATGATATATTTCCAAAAAAAGATTCACCGACCTTGATGAAATTTTTGAAAAAAATAATTTAAACTGTTTTTTAATTAATTTTTTATATTTTCAAGGGACCTTTTATTTTTAATCATTGAGTTGGGTGGTGGGATTCGCTTGTTAAGGCATACAGTAAACTTGCCGCTGCCTGTCATGTTGCATAAGAAAATGGCCCCTACGTTTATGATACGTACAGTATTGTTAATTTTATGGCTTTGTATTTTTATTGATCCCCATTTCGATTCACATTCTGAAAGTTGTGTGCTCCCCCTCTTGAGTGGCCTCCCCCCCAAAAAATTCCATCCCCCCCCCCCCCCTAGACTCTTCCACAGTCTCTCGCTCGTCCGTTCCGTCTCCACGCTTAGAGACTGTAACGGAACAATGACCGAAAGGACTTATGGGTCCCGAAAACTTGGACCCAGCGTGCTTTGGGAACCAAAATACTCGTCCACAGTCTCTCTCTTTTTCGCCGCCATCTTGAAAATATTGAAGAGTCTAGCCCCCCCTCCCCCTTTCCTTCCTGGTAAAAAAATGAATGCTACCCAATCTTATGTTGGGCCATCGTCATGGTAATTTCCTTATTTATTTTCCATCCATTTTACTTCTATTTATTCATCTTGTTTTTTTCAGCAGCTGTTTATAAGACCTGAATATTTTTTTTGAGAAACAAGTGGAAATGAATGAATATATATTTTTTGTTTATTCCATCTCACTATTTGAAAAATATATCCCCCCCCCCCCCAACAGAAACTGTAGTTATTAAGGGCGGATCCAGGGGGGGTCTCAGGGGTAAATTTTTGTGGGCAAAGGAATCCCAGTCGCATTTTGACCACAGGAAGCCCATTTGACCTCAGGAATGACAGGGGGGTCGTGACCCCCCCGACCCTCCCCCTGGATCCACCCTGTAGTGTCCATCTCCATCTCTTTCACTTTCCAGTGTTGGTAAAATCAGGGCATGTGCCCCCCCCC